AACTAACCTAAACCAACCCAACTCACCTCACCTCAACCAGATTCAACTCAACCCAACAAACTCAACCACAACAAACTCAACTAAAAAGTAAAACAAAACAACCAAAACCAAGTTTATTTGCAAGTTCATGGGTAAAGAGAGTTAAATGTTTGCATGCTATATTCACATACACCACTTTTTTTTTCCTAAACATTTTTTTTAATTCTCTCAAGAACAATTTAATAACATTAGAATGCCACCAAATGATTCACTTTCATAGACAACCTAGAGAGTTAGGTAATTTGTGTGATTCATGTTCTAACAGTCCATTTAATCACAGTGGAGACTTTCATGACCATAGTTATTTCAAAACACAAAGGCAATCTTTTTTCTTCTTCCACTGCACTGCAGTCATTACAAGGTTTTTATACGACTGTTTATTCCATTTCTGCTGCCCTCAAACTGCACCAGGTAATTATATCAAATACTTCTGTGTTGATTTATCCTCACACATCCCATTGAAACCTGCAAGAGGGCATTGTTGAAATACAAAGAGTATGCAGGTCATTTTCTCGCTGTTTTGTTGGATGAGGATGAGCGTAAACTACATAAACCCATTATTTGTGTGTGTGTGTCTGTATATATTAGGGCAGGGACTCGATTAAAAAAATTGATCTAATTAATTAGAGGCTTTGTAATTAATAAATCGAAATTAATCGCATTTTAATTGCATAAATATTTGAACTGAGAACAGTGAGAAGATTTTTTTTCACATGGATTTTTAGTATACCATTGAATAATGACTGAATACATAAACGTAATCAACAAAATATTTATTTTTCTTCAAGTCCAGCAGACCAGTGCAATTGTATATGTTTTGAAAACTTGAGGGTCGACGTGATATGCGAATTCCTTGTTGCATAGCTAGCTTGCACACAACCATGCTCTTAATGACACTTCCATCTGTTCGTTTTTATAACAAAATTTCCCATTCACGGGATCAACCAAAGCGGTCTCGTCAGCTTCTTCGTTCATGTTCACTGTGGTTTGTTGTTTTTGTTTAGTTGTCTGAAAAGTCATGAACGCTAGTTGGTGCTCCAGTATAATCGGTCCGCCGAAACTAATCCAGTGAGAAATGTTCCGCGGTGCAAAAATAAGTGTGATTAAAATGCGTTAATTTTTTGTGTAATTAATTAACGAGTTAAAGTCCCGGCTCTAGTATATATATATAAACACACACACACACACACATATATTATTCTAACCTCCGGCAACCATAATCAGGCTTCCATGAGAGAAAATACATTTGACTTACTACATTTTGAAGAACTAGAACTCAATCACTGATTCAAAATAGATTTAGCCTGGATTGCAATCATAAAGAATCTGAAATGTATAAACATGATATATAACTGATGTTCTGGAGATCTGACGTAGGCATCGTTTTCTGGAAGTGACAGGAATAGAATCCAAATGTTTTTGACTCATTTTATCTGTACTGAACTGTCTAAAAGGAGAATATTCCACCAGAATATGATTAAAAGAAACACCAACCACAAAAACCATCCTCCGCAAATAACCCGCTCCGCCACAACCACTAATCCTGACTTCAGAAAAGCTAATACCGTTTCATCTATTTTCCCTAAGGATGAGGGCCAATGCAAAACAAATGAAGAAATAAATTAATAAGCGACGATTGAATCGCGTGTGTCGCTTTGATAGCGGGCATCAAAGTCTCTTTTTCTTCTGTGACTGAAGACATCACAGCAGCCAGAGCAAAACCAAAGCTGGTTTCTCTTTGAACGTGTTGTGTTGCATATCAGGGTCTGCTTTGCAGTGGCCGGTTTTGCTTATCAGAGGTTTGACAGAACGGACTATCCTACACCTCAAAGCAACACAGAGCCATGCTCGTTCAACAAAGACCTGGGTCAAGAGAGCGTGGAACGAAATTTCACCCCCTGTGAGCCCGTTCTCAGACCTGTGAAGAGTGAAGTGTCTTCCATGAAAACAACAAAAAAAACAAACAAACAATAAGACTTTAAGAGACAGCATACCCTCTGGCTGAGCAATATGCTTATAAAAAACAACCGCTTTCCTCTTCTTGCCAAACAGTTGGTGTACTGTGGCTAAACAAGCAAACCGCAGGCTCTCAAAGGCTGAATAAATAAACCAGTCTAGTGCTGGAGAGAATGAAAACGCTTAATAAACACAAGACTGCAGGGTTTTTTTCTGCCCTCCAAGCCATTCACAATCAGTTCTAATGTTGTGGTTCACATCCAAAGTAACAACCATTTTTTTAAGTGCTACTTAGACAAGAAATAGACATTCTTCACAGAATGCACACATTTCACACCACAACTAAGACTGCCATTAAATAATTTCAAACTTCAAGAATATCTCAAATAAATAGTCTGATATAGCAGCTCGAGGTCAAAAATATAAAATTCATCAGTGTAGGAACATTTTAGCCTATTTTCCTGCTCATAAATTACTGGAGGAGCTGAATTAGATTCCTGCAGAGCAGCTGTTGTTTGTATTGTGTTTATCTGTTTGAGCAAATAAAACATTTAGACTCACCTGACCCATAATAAAACAGAATTTGCATAATGCACAATGTGCATTAATAAAATTGTCCTCAAAAGAACAATACATGTAATTATATTGGCAAATGAGATGAGTTAGTTGTGCTTTTTAACCTCCCAACAAACACTCCTAAAAATGAATCCATTAAATCTATAAATAAATAGGGGTGTGACGATACCCTCATGTCAAGATTCGATATCACGATATTGAACTCAACATGATACGATATTATTGCGATCCTCCAAAACATATGATAAAAGGTTAACAAAAAATGTTGATTAAAATACAAAATGTAATATTACATTATGGGTGGAAATAAATAGGCTTGGAGTTGGTGCTGGTAACCCAATACACCTGACAATGGTGTAAGAATAAAAACATGTATGATTCTGAAGCTGAAAATACGACATAAGACATTTGGCATTATCAGAACCCACAAATATTCCCCCATTGCATTATTATACATTACATATAGTAGCATAATGTAGTACTGAAACTATTTTCCCCTCACACTTTTATTTAGGTTGAACAAATACACAATATATTGTCACTATCCACGATAGATTTTGATGCACTGCGATATATTGTGATATGATAGTGTTACACCCCTAAACATACAATAAAAATAACATTTCTGGATTTTGTCTAGTTCTCTCTCATTTTTGTTTTGTCTTTATTTGAAGAGTGGGTTCTTCAGTTTGTGTTCCCATATGATTTCCACAACTCTACAAACCTCATTTCCAACAGTTTATTGATTTGATGTTGTATTGATATATATTTACTATTATTGCCTTATATTTTGACCCTAGACATTATTTGTTTAACTTTAAATAAACTTATATTTTCTCTTTTGAGACCCATCTTGCGAAGAGTCCTCTTTACGTTATGACTTTGTTTGAGCAGAGTCGTAACAAAAATTGGAGCCTAGTCCGGGATCAATAATGGTTTGGAGTTGGGGTTTTGTTTGTTGAGTGGAGTGTGGAAAAGGTTATTGGATTATTAGAGATCTCCGGTTAAGTAGAGTGTTCCAGCTGGGATGCTAGTCAATCCTTCCAACAGCATACTGTTTGTTTTGTTAGTTTGCTATTTTTGAAAGTATCCCGGGTGGAGATTTAATCTCTGTTGGGAGTATGCTATTCAGGGATTTTTGCCAGGAGATGAAGTTAAGCGTCTAAAGTGGCCCAGAGCCTGATAAGCCTTTAAAGATTAGATTTTTTATTTTTTTTTTATTTTGTGTAGTGTAGTTGTTGTATAAGATATTCAATGTTCATTGGTGTGGTCTTTATCATCAATGATTAGTTTTGGGGAACTTTCTAGATTAGTTTTTGCCACTTTATTCAAGTTGGTATTGTTGATGTTGGCATGTTGATGTTTTAGGGAACATGCAGTTTTAAGATAGTATGCGGTCAGCAATTTAGGCAAGATTTTGTGAATAAAGCCCGGAACACACCGAGCCGAAGGTCGGCCAGTTTTTGTGCGTTGGCCAACTAAGTTTCCTCTGTGTGTTCCGCATGGTTCCGTGCCGTCGGCTGAAATGAGTCCTCGTCGGCTTTGTTTCACCCGATTCGACATGTTGAACATGTCGACGGGCCGTCGGGGAAAAAGAGAATTCTGATTGGCTCAGCTTAGTGATAGAGTCAGTGCACGAGAATAAAAGAATCATTTTATATCAGAGAATCATTTTAGATCAGAAAGATAATCGGATTTTGACTGACAGTGTGAATGTAGCCATTGTTAAAGGGATACTCCACTTTTTTTGGAAATAGGCTCATTTTACAACTCCCCCAGAGTTAAACAGTTGGGTTTTACCGTTTTCGAATCATTTCAGCCGATTTTCTGATATTTAGAAGAATATCAGTAACCAGACAGTTTTGGTCTCATTGACTTCCATAGTATATATTTTTTTCCTACTATGGAAGTCAATGAGACCAGAAAGTGTCTGTTTATTGATATTCTTCTAAATATCAGAAAATCAGCTGAAATGATTCGAAAACAGTAAAACTCAACTGTTTAACTCTGGGGGAGTGGTAAAATGAGCCTATTTCCAAAAAAAAAAAAAAAAAGTGGAGTATCCACTTTTATACCACTGGAAAGGTATTTTCCAAATGCGACCGATTAGTACAGAGCAAAACACGACCATTTTTCAGCCTAAATAATCAGCCAAATTTGTGAGTCCGTTCAGTTCAATGGCATTGTTTATGTTCTGTGCCTCCAAAATGGCCGACTTCTGGATTGATGATGCGTCGTGAAAACCCTCTATTACAAATCATACAAGCAACAAAGTTTTGAACATGTGTATTTAAATAGTAATGTGTAAATGTATCTGATACCATGTGAAAAACATACCCAACAATAACCACAATAGCTCACTAATGCGGCAGCGCACTAAATCCCACTACATCTATAAGTCTATAAATTATCCATTTAAAGCATCTCACCTGGGCCACGGCCACCTGTGTCTGCTGCTGCTGCTGGGTGAGCTGTTGCTGGAGCAGCTGGAGCTGATGGTGCACAGACAGAGGAGTGCTGGCCGGGACCTGACTGCCTGAAGGAAGCAGCAACTTAGGGGAAGCCAGCAGGATGTTGGGCTCCTCAGAGGGCTGGAGAAAAAGAGAGAGAACACTTGTTTTGTCAAAGATCGGTAATTAATCTACAAGTTCACCATAAGGAAGCTTTGTCTGAGAATAAGGAACAGCATGAAATGTGCAGAAAAAGTAGAAAATGCATTAAAAACAGACAATAGAGAATTGGCAAAGGTCTTTAACAAAGAGCAAAATAACAAAACAAGCTAGTTTCAAAGTCATTAGTGCACGGCAAACTCCATTTCAGCTCCTACGCTTCATGCCAGTGTTAACTTAAAAAAAAAAAAAAAACTGCATGTTTGCGATCAGGAAACAATGTTCTGCTCTGACCAACTCTGTGGTCAAAGATGCTTCTACTGAGGCTTAGATATTAATTACAGTAGCTCCTGCAGTCGATGTAGCTGTGCAAACAAACAGAGCTCCGAGGGATGGGAGGCAGTCGACTGTGACAAATTGTTAGTTTTACCTTACACGGCCAACTTATTTACACCCCGGCAGGCATGAAAATATGGTGATGCCAGCTGTCAGATATTGACCTCCCACGTACAGAATGAAGGACTGAGTATGAAAGCCTCAGCAGCAGTGGCCAGATATAAGACTGATTTTGGCTGAGACTGATGTGCTGCGAAGAGCCCTTTGAATTATTCCGGCATTGCCTGGAGCTGAATCACTAGACGAGGAGCTAGACGCACCAAACCAGAGCTCAGTTCTTTGAAAAATCACTAGATGTATAACTGCTATGGACAGCCTAAAGCATGCATTTCAAGCATCATGTTTTTATTCAAAGTTAAAGGGTTAGTTCACCCAAAAAGGAAAATTAAGTCATTAATTACTCACCCCCATGCTGTTCCAACCCCGTAAGCCCTTCGTTCATCTTCGGAACACAAATAAAGATATTTTTGATTGAATCTGAGAGCTGGATCAGTCCAACATAGACTGCCTAAGGGACTGGCTCTTGACGTCATTAAAGAAAAGGTTTAAATATTCCATGTGCCTACAGCGGCTCAATTATAAGTTTATCAAGCGACGAGACTACTTTTTGTGCGTAAAAAACATAAATAACGACTTTATTCGACTATTCCATTACGTCCTTATGGGCGCATGCGCGAGAACTGAGACGAGGAGGTTCTCCTTCGACTACTTCTTGTTACCGGCTGCTCACCGCTTAGGAGTATTACCGCCACCTACCGTATAAAATGATGATCCATATATAAGGCGCTCCGGATTATAAGGAACACTGTCGTTTTTTGAGAAGATTAAAGGCTTTTAAGTGCACCTTATAGTGCGGAAAATAAGTAAATTGAAAAGCGCATGTACAGCGCGCATCTTCCTCTGCTTGTAAACAGAAAGTTTTGCGCTTCCAGCTATATCAGCACATCATCTTATACGGTAGGTGGCGGTAATACTCCTAAGCGGTGAGCAGCCGGTAACAAGTAGTCGTCGAAGGAGAACGTCCTCGTCTCAGTTCTCGCACATGCGCCCATAAGGAAGTAATGGAATAGTCGAATAATTATGTCATTTATGTTTTTTTCGCACAAAAAGTAGTCTCGTCGCTTGATAAACTTATAATTGAGCCGCTGTAGGCACATGGAATATTTAAACCTTTTCTTTAAAGGGTTAGTTCACCCAAAAATGAAAATTAAGTCATTAATTACTCACCCCCATGCTGTACCAACCCCGTAAGACCTTCGTTCGTCTTCGGAACACAAATGAAGATATTTTTGATTAAATTTGAGAGCTGTATAACTACCACATTGGCTCCTAAGGGACTGCCTCTTGACGGCCCAGTAAGTCAATGAAGAAAATGTTTAAATATCCCAAGTGACTACCGTGGCTCAACTATATGTTTATCAAGCGACGCGAATACTTTTTGTGCGAAAAAACAAACAAAAATAACGAGTTTATTCGACTATTTCTTTTCTTCCTTGTAGGCCAGAACGAGAATTCCTTAGATTTCCACGACGCATGCGCGAGATTTGCGATCTGCTCACACCAGCTTACACTACTTCAGATCGCAATTCTCGCGCATGCGTCGTGGAAATCTATAAGGAAGTCTCGTTCTGGCCTACAAGGAAGAAAAGAAATAGTCGAATAAACTCGTTATTTTTGTTTGTTTTTTCGCACAAAAAGTATTCGCGTCGCTTGATAAACATATAGTTGAGCCACGGTAGTCACTTGGGATATTTAAACATTTTCTTCATTGACTTCATTGACTAATTTTCATTTTTGGGTGAACTAACCCTTTAATGACTTTATGGGCCGTCAAGAGCCAGTCCCTTAGGCAGTCTATGTAGGACTGATCCAGCTCTCAGATTCAATCAAAAATATCTTTATTTGTGTTCCGAAGATGAACGAAGGTCTTACGGGGTTGGAACAGCATGGGGGTGAGTAATTAATGACTTAATTTTCATTTTTGGGTGAACTAACCCTTTAAATATGTTTTCCTATCCCCGTTTTATTTGCAGGGACATTGACAAGAATACAGTCCATAAGCTGATTCTGTCATGCGTCACAACAATGCTTTCGGAATAGACAAACAAACAATTTGACGTTTTTGGTAGGACTACCTGTTTGTCCCAACAATGTAGGACAGTTCTAAACAATTCTTGATCATATGGCAAATCTTTTTTGACCTGACTCCTTTTCTTTATATTGTCAAACAAACAAACATCCAGTAAAAGGATTTTTCCTTAAGACTAATCTGATGTCAAACAAGATTGCGTGCAGTATATTAGAAAATATGTTCACCTTAGTTTCTCATATTTTTCATTTCTCACATGTTGTTCAGGTAGGCTGCATGAGGATTTCTTCTGCGTGTCTGTTTATATGGGCATTGCTGCAGAATGGCACGTTGTAAAATACATCTGCGCTCACAGACGCCCCAGAGTGAAAATACCTCAACTGGAGAGACCGGTGACATCCACTAAATTCATAGCTTGAAAAAAATCTGCATAGTGCGCCAGGGGAAAATGTTCTGAGAATGATATTACTGCTCATCGTCTGATGTAAACTGAAAAATTGAAGATAAGCATGACTCAACTGATAAAATATTTGCTACTTTTGTGCTGTGCAAGTCTAAAGTCATCATATCACAGAGCAAAAATCATGGATGAAAACATTTGTCAAGAACCGAGTGTCTGGATGAGCACACAACTGTGACCACAGGAAGTAGTATGGATTGGCTTAATGAATATTTTCTAAGCACATTTTTAATGAATGATTCATTGATGAAAACATGTTACACTTAAAATCCTATTTTTCTCAAGCTCAACACATTTGCATATTGGATTGAGATCTGTCTTCCACATATATTGAACAATCTAAAGCTGTTAACATTGCAAAGGTGGCACAGAAACTGCGCCGTGCGTTGATTACCACGCACTGCCGACAGAAAACAAGACATAGGTCATTATGACAGCAACAACGTTTATGACTGTTCCAATTTGACATTTCATTTATAAAGAGCTTAAGCTTTTGTTGTTAAGCAAGCACCAGTACAGTATTTCCTTCTGTATATGCCCATAAAGTTTCTCTATGAGGGTTACTGGAATATTTTCATCACTCCACAGGGAATAATTACACTATCATCTGTTCTGAAATCTGTATTTGTGTGTGCAACAGAAAATATAATGCAGAATAGACTTTGGTAATAGGTTGAAGAAAACACATCTGTTAAAAGGCATCAAGGGGAAATACTGTTCATTTGAGTGCTTTCAATTAACGGCTTCATCTGTGATTATGTGATGGAGGTGTAATCAGCTATTCGAAGTCTGTACTGCTACTTTAGCGACTCAAGTGTCATCAGGATCCATGAAAACATGAGGTTTAGGTCTGGGTCAAATACAGACCTATAGTGGCAGAAAAAGGGCAATGAGGAGGAATATGGAAATGTCTGCCATGCTGCACAAACTCGACTCCCTAAAGGCCGTTTCACATGGGATTCTCTGCGAAGCAGCAAATCGCTGCACATGTTCCCTTGTTTTCGTGTTTGGTTTCTGTTTGTAGTTAGGGGTGGACGTTGTCCAGAAGATTCTTTATGATGACGGATGTCCTGTTACTTTATCCACTACAGTAAAAGACCTGGGTGTTATACTAGACCGCAACTTGTCTTTCGAAGATCATATTTCATATGTTACAAGAACAGCCGTTTTCCACCTTAGAAACATTGCTAAGCTACGTAACATGCTATCTGTTTCTGATGCAGAAAAATTAGTTCATGCATTCATGACCTCAAGACTAGATTACTGTAATGCTTTATTAGCCGGTTGTCCTGCATCCTCAATAAACAAGCTACAGTTAGTACAAAATGCAGCTGCTAGAGTTCTTACTAGGTCAAGAAAATATGATCATATAACACCGATTTTATCATCTCTACACTGGTTACCTATTAAGTTCCGCATCAACTACAAAATACTACTACTGACCTATAAAGCCCTAAATGGTTTAGCACCTATGTACTTAACGGACCTTCTTTCGCCCTACAATCCACAGCGTTCCTTAAGATCACTAAATTCAAGGCTTCTGGTTATTCCTAGGATATCGAAGTCCTGTAAAGGAGGGAGGGCGTTCTCGCATTTAGCTCCAAAACTCTGGAATGGCCTTCCCGATACGGTCCGAGCCTCTGACTCGCTGACACAGTTTAAAACTAGATTAAAGACGCTTCTCTTTAGTCAAGCATTCACATAATGCTTACCTTCTAGTCCTCTGTTATGCCATACGGAACCGTTTGCCACTGAAACTGCTTAACGCACCAGTGGGGCTCGACAGCCTTTTAGACAAACGGGTCGGCGCGTATGGTTGGGTTGCGGAGAGTTCAGGTTACGGAGAGTTTGTGAGTTATAACGCAAATCATTATGAACATCAGCTATGCTAATTATTTCCCATCTGCCTTTCTGCTGTTATCTCGGGACGCTTGTCCCGAGAAAAATGGCGTTCGTCAGGTCCAGTTTTGTGTCCAGCCTCTCACGGGGATTTCGGATGCCCCAACGCCTGTGATGAGACGACTCAACGCCTGTGAA